ATATATATATATTTCACCTACTTATGTAGAATAACGTTTTGTGGAGTTAGGGATATTAATATTAGTTTACTTTTAGTTGAATAGTATCCTGGGTTTAGGTTTGGGAAGTCCGGGTGGGGGGTGGGGGGTGGGTTCAATTGTGATGTATTTGTGATGTGTTTTTTTTTATGTTGAAAACAATAAAAAATTGTTTGAAAAAAAAAAAAAATTCCATTCAGATGGAAACAAATTTTCATTAAGTAGGTTAAACATTTATAAATCTAATCAAAACAATTCAAAGTCATTTCTTTTGGTTGATGGATATATAGGTCTAACTAAACAATTTAAACTCAACAATTCCCCCCCCCAAAAAAAATTGTCCAACAATTACTGTCTCCTCTTTCGAGTAAAAAAAATTGCAATCCACCCCACCCTTCTGAAAGTGGAATTCTAAACAGAGAAAAAAAAAGGTTAAAACAAACAGCCTCCCCCCCCCTCTTCTTTCTCTCTCCCCGGCTCTTAAAGCAACACAGCCAAGGGAGAAACGAAAGAGAGGGGACAGAAAAAAAAATCCTTCATATGCAGTTGCCATAAATTCTGTCACACATCCTCCATGGAACTCTTCTCATGCAAACACTTGTTATTGCTTTTCAAGTTACTTTTACAACAATAAAATCTGCAGTTTATAATTTCTTTCACAGCTTGGGAGGGAGTGAGGGGGGTGGGGTTTGAGGGCTAACACACACACTTAGGTATCAACAAATCAACTCATTCACTTCCATGCTAACTGCTTTCATAAACAATTCCACATACAAATATTTCATTTCATACTTTCTCCAGGCAAACTATTTATTTTTAAATAAGGCCTTTTTATGTGTTGTTATCAGAGAGGGTTTTGACCCTCATCCAAGTCTTGGAAATAATACAGAACAACACAGACAGACATATATACACAAATACTATTAAAACAACATTTATTTAGACATATGGCTTGTCCTGCAAAAAGCGAGAAAAATCAGGAGGTGATTCCAACCAAACATGGTTTTTATAGGGCCCTTTAACCATCTCCTATTTTTCTCACCATTCCAAGCCCAAGCATAATGTTCTGGGTGGCCACACACACACATACACACACATATATACACATACATATATATAAACAAAACACACTACACATCAATTTGGGGTTTGAGGCTAAAACAGGCCTCCCCTTTTAATTGCATACTGCCGTAAGGAAACAGCTTGGGCCCCTGGGTGAAGATGGGCTCGGTGAGGGACAGCATAATGAGCAAATCCTGGGATTCCATGAGACCAAACCTCAGGGGAAATGGAATNTGCACTAGCATCCAGATAACAAATATAAGCTTGCAAAGCTGGAAAATCCAAAGAAATACCCTGGGGTTGACAAGTGATTGTTGCTCCCAATTTCCCCAGCAAATCTCTGCCCAGCAAATTAATAGGGCACTGGGGTAAAACCAGAAATGAGTGTTGAACTTTGGGCCCTTGGCTTGGAGTCACACACAAAGGGGTGGTGTAGGGAGCCATTTCAGTTTGCCCACTGACACCAACAATAGGAGTAGTCTGAGAACTCAAACAGTCTTGGGGACCCCAGTTCTAATGCCATGGAGAATGGCGTTGTGAAAATTCAGTAAGGCACCATATCCCCCATCAGTGTTAACATCACATTCAAAACTTGGAACAAAAACAACTTCAGGTGCTGGCCACTGTTCAATGTCTCTTTGTCCATCATTGGTGGCTTCCTTCCATCCCCTAGTATATTCCTCCAAGCCTTTTTTTCAAAACCTGGCGTTTGTCCTCAGCCCCCAAAAATCCAGATAACAAAGTGTCTATATCAGGGACCGTTGGCTTGTGGGTGGCAAAAATCCTTTGAAATAAATCAACGTACTGCTGGGGGGATTCTCTAAATGGTGGCAAGTTAGCTTTCCAGTTAAAAAGGTCACTGGTGGTAAATGGGGTGTCAACCAGGACCATTTTACCGTTTGTTGCTGGCACCTGTCGCAGCGGACATATTGTCTTCTCCTCCAAGTGATTTTTTTTTTTGTTGTTAGCATAAACTTTGCCCTGTCTCGTGTGAGAAGGGCTTTGAATCCGTGCAGCAGAGGACGATCCCTCATCAGGATCTTCGTCTTCAGAGACGGAGAGAAGGGGGGGCTGTGGAGGAAGCAGCAGCTGAATGCAAGGACGGAGAAGAGACAGAGGGGGCTGTGGGGGAAGAAGCAGCTTTCTTTTGAAACTTATTTATTTCTGGGCGGACTGGACAGACCAAATTCAAAACCTCTGGAGGGACTAACAGGCCACATTGTTTTAAAATGTCCTGTCAGATGCTCAAATTAAAGAAAAAGCCTGCATATAATTCTTCATCCGTCTGCCCTTCTTACAGATGCAAGAACATCTGTAAGCTTATGAATAACATCCAAGTCCACAGACCCTTCTCTTGGCCAAGGTTGTTGCCCAGGGCCCATAAAATAAGTTGACCACACATCAACACAAAGCACCACCAGACGTTGTCTGACAGGGTTAAACTTAACAGCCACTTGAAGTTTCAAAACATCCCAATTGTTCAAAACACATTGCAGAGGATTACATTTAGATTTAATTTGTTTCTTTAAATTACTCTGACGATTCCCCATATTATTTTTTTTTATTTTATTTTTTTTACTTCAAGATAGTTTCTCGGCTTCCTCCCTTTTCACTTAATTAATTTGGAATTTTGTAATTAATTTTTCCTTTGGAGGACTAGTCGGGGAGATCAGCCCCCTATCTTATTCCAAAATTACCAAAACCTCTGCAAAAAAAATTACATACCAATTCAATTATTTTTCTTAACTCACTCTATCCTGTATTAGAAGACAGTTGCTTGGCTTCCTCTTTTCTTCATTTATGTATTTTTTTATGCTTATCTATAGAGGACAGTCAGAGAGATCAACCTCCTGCCTTATTCCAGGATTTCCAAAGCTTTTTTTTTAATTTCTGTTACTTACCAAGGCGCCTGTTGCAATTTCTCCCATCAGTAGAGAAGCATGAAACCTCATTGAATTCGGGCGTTCAGGTTGCTCAGACACAGACCCCACCATCGACGATGAAGCATAGAATCTTCCAGGTCAAACACCTGAGAGCGCTCTAAGACTCACAATTCAGTCGTCGTTGGTTTCGTCCTGCTGAGAATTGAAGGCTCGCTGGGACCTTAACAGGGGTCTCCAGATGTGGGGGGAAGAGCCATTGTAGCTTCCACCACGTTTAGGCGCCAGGATGTAAGGTTTTCCACTTAGCTTCACAACTGCCCCAGCATTACTCAGGAATTTAAAAGAGCCAAAGAAACTCCTGAGTCGAGGTTTCAGCAAGCAAACAACTTTTATTTTGATCAAAATAGAGTTGGGTGACCCCATCTCTCTTCGTGGCTGGTAGAGAGATGAAGGCAACAACCAGAAAAGATGTCTTCCACCTTTTATACCTTTCCAGAACAAAAAGATCAGGTCTTGGTACTAGGCATAAGATGGCACAAAAAAACAATTCTTAGATGATGACTCATACACAGCAACCCAGGCTCCATCCGTAACTCCTTTCCCCCCTCCCCTTACTGTGCTCTTTTCATATAAGAAATATATACCTAAAGCATGAAGCCCTTACTTTTCCAATATATATATAAAGCGTCTGATCAAGCAATTAACTACAAAATAATGATTACAAAATAACAAAACAATGATTACATGATAACACTATAAGTATCAATATAAAATGGTTACTATATGTAAAATAAATGCTAATGTCAAACTTAAACATACTAAAATCATAAGCACAATAAAATCCCTTCAATGTTTTACGATATCTTGTAAGATGCCCAAAACTGTAAATATAATGGGCAACATATAATTTTCTAATAAAGGAACTACATGTTAATTATGAATAAGGCACAACATAGGCAGCACTTTAGATGGTGCTATAAGCTAAAAGACAAATCTATGGAGAAAAAGGCCAAACATTTCTCCAGCATCAGACAGTACATGCCTCTTAATATGGTCATTTGTAATTATGACGGTTGAGGAACACAAACAAGCTGTCCTGGTGATGACTTTTTGATTGGCACTAGACCAGTTATAGGGGAAAGAAACTGTGTGTCTTAGTTGCCTTCAAAAGATATCCTGCTGGACAAGATCAAAGTAAGGCAAAGCAAAAGACTGAATAATACTGAGAAGTTTGGAAATTTTTATCTGTGGGCTTGGAGAGATCCAATACCATCCAAAGAAATTCTAGGATTTTGTTCCACTCATGTAATTTGCCTTTGTGCATAAGCCCAGCCTAAGAAAACCCCACTTCACCAAACTTTAAAAGTGAGGGAAAGGGATAGGATTTGCATTTTAGCTATAAGAGTCTCAAAAGACAGAAGTGCTGGAAACTGATAGGCCTTGGCTTGAGAAAAAATGGCACTGTTAAGCAAAAACCTCTCCATTTCTGATTGCAGTCAGAGAAATCATACATAAAAATGATCCACACAAACAGAAAACCATCAGGGAAAAGATGAGAGTAGGAAGAGGGGTCTAGAATAATTTACCACACCCAATTTGTCATGGCCAACTCGCCGCAGGAGAACTTGCTGCATGACAATTCAACACTGTATTAATCATTTCATTCAGTTACTTTTTTAATTAGTGACCATGTTTTCACTGAAATTATTGTAACTTGTATTTCTGGATTGACTATTGTTATTGGCCATGGTTCCATTGAAATTGATTTATCTTTTGTACTTGTTGAACTGTCCTGCAAGGAATTGTCCCGTGGTGAGTTGGCTGTAGCGAGTTAGACACGGCGAGTTGTCCCATTCCAAGGAAGAGAACCTGAATAACTGAGATTACAAGAGGTGTGTCAAGGAAAATCCACAAGGTATCTAAAATGTCAGTTTGTTTTACCATTTCAGGACCCCTTCATCCTCTATCACATATAACACAGATGGGACACCTGAAGGAAAAAGGTGGCGTGGGGGTGATCTTTATTGCAGGCCACACCTGGACTTCATCATGAGGGTGATTGACAATTAGTGCATAAGCCAGTGCTTCTTCTGACAACTTGTTGAAGTTGGCCTGATCCAATAGTGGTTCCATCTTGGCCAAAACTCCCTGTTCTTTTCTTAACCGTTCGGCATCTGTCAAACAGAATTCCTGCAGTGTGTCTCGATCAGGATCAATAGGTGTATAGAGTGTCTAGAAGGGGAAGGCATAAGTGGGAAGATTGATACAGTTAGTATTAATACAGCATACTTGTTCTATCCCTGGTCACCGTGGGCAATTTATTATTGAAATCATCATCACAGCAACAGTGGGTGAACAAGTAGAAGGAATGCATTACTGGTAGTCCTTGACTTATAACAACTCATTTAGTGACTTTCAAAGTTGCAGTGGCATTGAAAAAAGTGACTAACGACCATTTTTCACCCTTACAACCATTACAGCAGGGGTCTTCAAACTTGGCCCTTTTATGACTTGTGGACTTCAATTCCCAGAATTCCTCAGTCAGCGTGGCTGACTGAGGAATTCTGGGAGTTGAAGTCCACAAGTCATAAAAGGGCCGAGTTTGAGAACCCCTGCATTACAGCATATCCATGGTCACGTGATCAAAATTCAGACGCTTGGCAATCGATTCATATTTATGACGGTTGCAGTGTCCCAGGATCACGTGATCACCTTTTGTGACCTTCTCTAAAGCAGAGTCAATGGGAAAGCCAGATTCACTTAACAACCGTGTTACTAACTTAACAACTGCAATGATTCTCCTACGCCTTCCCCCCCAATTCCAGCACTTACATTGAGAGATATTCAAGATGCATTAAAGGACAATGCAAGACAGATTAGAATGGAAATGGAGGATTTGTTTGAAAAGAAACTTGAAGAGAAGAATGCAGAGATGAGAGATGATATATTGTTTGCATTGCAAGGTCTGACAGTTCATGCAGAACGTATTGAAGGACGGGTGGATGAAGTGGAGGAACATGTTGAAAGCTTGGAACTTAGACTGGGAAAAGTGGAGGAGAACGTGTATTTAACTCAAAATGAGGTCATTTTGTCACAATACAGAGAAATGGAATATGCTTTGAGAATAAGGGGGCTGAAAGAAAATGCTCAAGAGAAATTAGAGGAGGAGATTGCAGCAGATCTGGCCTTGGTTTTATCCTGTCAACCTGAAGAAGTTATAAGAGAAATGGAAAATTTTTTTAGAGTCAATTCATGGGTTGCAAGACAGAGAAACCTTCCAAGAGATGTTGTTATCTATTTTTCTAGAAAATCAATCTGTAATCAAATTATTCAAGCTTTTTACAATCAGAAATTTCAAATATCAGGACAAGATGTTATAATTTTAAAGGAGATACCACCCAAAATACTCAGAAGAAGGAAGGATTTCACCTTCCTGGCTGAAGAGTTGAAAAAGCGACAAATTCAATTTAGATGGGAGATACCTGCTGGCATTATGGTAAATTATATGGGAATACGCTATAGGCTCAACACCATTGCAAAGGCAAAGGACTTTTATATTTCAATCCTGAAAGCAGGTTCTCCATCATCTCCACAAGGTACCAGGAAGGAAAGAATTTGTGAAGATAAAGTGGCTGAAGGAGCTATATTGTCATCAAGTTTCATAGAATTACAAAATCAAGAGCAAGTCAAGCAACAATTTATGGAAATTTAAGGAGATCCCAAATCACAAAGAATGACCCGTGCAGCTCATAAACGCAAAGAAAGAGAGCAACAAAAAGTGGATGTACCCGTTGCACAGCAAGTCATCTCGGAGCCAGTGGGAGGGGCGAGGCCGAAGAAATCAGTAACAGCTGATTTACAAGGAACGTTCCAGAGGCTCGCTGCCATTAAAGATGGCAAGGTTCCTGACATGGAATGTTAATGGTTTGAATTCTCCACAGAAAAGAAAAAATATATTTTATTATTTGAAGCAACATAAAAATGATGTTGTTTGTTTACAAGAAACTCACATTACAGCAAAGGATCAAAAATATCTGACTAATTCACGGTTGGGAATACATTTTATGGCACCCGTGCCTCAGAAAAGAGGCGGGGTAGTTATTTATGTTAGGAAAGAGTTTTTGCCTAAATTGATTGATTCTGATCCAGAAGGAAGATATGTTTTTATTGAAATATTATTGAATGGGAAGAAATGTCTTATTATTGGATTATATGCCCCAAATCAACAGCAGAAACAGTTTTATAAATTGGTACATCAGAAATTAAATCAAATGGATTACAAATCAGTTATTATGATGGGAGATTGGAATGGTGTTTTAGATTCAAGAAGAGATAAGAAAGGTTCCTGCAAAGCTTTTAACTTAACATTGCCTAAAACTTTTTTTGACTTGAAGGACGAATTGGAATTAAAAGACATTTGGCGAGAACGAAATATGGAAGAAAGGGATTTTACTTTCTTTTCGGATAGGCACCAATCTTATTCTAGAATTGATTTTTTTTAATTACTAATGATTTTTGTTCCAGGGTGAAGAATATTAAGATTTTTCCCAGGACATTGTCAGATCATAGTCCGGTATGGATGGAGTTATTTGCTGAAGAAGGGAGCAGAAGAACTTGGAGACTGAATGAAAATTTATTTAGATAAGATATAAATTTACAGAAATGTAGAGATCAATTGAAAGAATTTTTTTTGTTGAATGTGCACAAAGGTACTTCAATTTCAATGGTCTGGGATGCTAGTAAAGCATATATGAGAGGTAATTTGATTTATATGAATAATGTTCACAGGCGTAAACAAATGCAAAAGCGTAAAGAGTTAGAGTAAGAGATTAAATTGAAAGAACAGGCTTTTATTTTAAATCCACTGGATAACAATTTAAAAGTATCTATTACTGTGCTTAGGAAACAATTTAATATGTTAATAGCAGATCAGACGGCAACTAGTTTAAGGTACATGAAATATAATACATTCTCTAATGCAAATAAACCAGGAAGGTGGTTGGCCTATCAATTACAAAAGAAGCAGAAATCAAGAATTATAGAGAAAATAGATTATAATGGTAAAATGGCATCTCAACAAAATTTGATTAAAAAGAGTTTTTTGGATTTCTATTCTAAGTTATATGCTTCTGAAAAAATACAATTTGAACAAATAGATAATTATTTACAGCAGGCACATTTTCCTAGATTGTCAGATAACCAAAGGGAAAAAATGAATTGTTCAATTACATTGGAGGAGATTAAGGGGGCAATTAAGCAATTAAAATTTGGTAAGGCACCAGGTACAGATGGATTTACAGCAATTTATTATAAGATGCTATCTGAAGAAATGATAGAACCATTAAGGGAATTGTTTAATAGTATCTTGTTGGGAGAAGAGGTACCTCCTTCCTGGAGAACTGCTTTTATATCTTTAATACCAAAGGAGGGTCAGGATTTGACTCAACCCAAGAATTATAGACCTATATCTTTATTGAATACAGATTATAAGATTTTTTCAAAAGTACTGGCAAATAGATTAATGCAAGTGTTGAACCAATTGATTCATAGTGATCAATCTGGATTTATAACTGGAAGATATATGAAATATAATGTAAGACAAATTATTAATTTAATTGAATATTTGGATAAGAATAATCAAATTCCTGCTGCTTTTATTTTTTTAGATGCTGAAAAAGCATTTGATCAATTAGATTGGGGGGTTTTTGTTTCAAGTTATAGACAGAATGAATTTTTGGGGAAAATTTTTGTCCGCCTTTAAGGCTATTTATCAACAGCAATCAGCACAGATTATAGTTAATGGGGGGGGGGGTAACAGAAGCATTTAAAATTGAAAAAGGAACTAGACAAGGATGTCCATTATCTCCATTGTTATTTGTGTTAACAATGGAGATTTTGTTAATTAAAATTCGGGAGTCTTCTATAATAAAAGGAATTAAGGTTAATAAGATTGAGT